CACGTTAACAAGAACAAGAGAACGAATGTGAGTGAAACAATGAATAATGTCATCATAATCAACGAGTGCACCCATATGAATTTCATTCGATGATTTGAGTGAGAGAATGCGTTTGGGCTGGATTTGTCCAAGTGTTTTAGAAGAAAATGGTATAAATTTCGAACGTAAAATACGATCTAAATCAACATGAACTGAACAGTGTAAAAGTAGAATATTCAAACGAATATTCAAGCACCAAAAAGCATAGAATAGAGAGAAACAATCAAGATATTCGGCTATTTCCGTCAATAATTCGTCAGACATTATTTCAAATTGTGTGATCACAACCATATTGAGACGTAAGAGGCACGATCGTTTTAGATGCGATATTCGTTCGAATGTGTAGCTATTGGCATGACCGATGCTTCCATCGTTACAATAAAAGAACAATAGCACAATGATCGCCTGGATTTTTTTAAAATAGCGTATACCATTGGCGAATAGATAAACGAAAACCTCTTTCTGCCTCCTCCAAGTGGCATACTATGTTCCGAGCTCGTCAATCTCTTCTACAAAAATACTACAGGTGATATCACTAATATTCAAATTTAAATAGAAAATTGTGATTGTACTTACAATTGTGCGCCCCGACCGATCTCTAGCGCCACCTGCGACAGACACTAAGAAGAACTCAGGGATCACGATCAGTGAGCCTCAATGTACATCAGCCTCACTTTCGTTCCAGAGTCTTGAGGATGTGGGATGTGACTAAAACAAACACGCTCAAAACCCACACCTGCACTCCTATAGTATCGTGCCACTTTTCCTAACATATGAAAAGGCCGCTGTAAGTTTCAGAGTCACATTTGGGCCCCGAAACGAGACAAATGCAGGTTTCTAAGGAAAGATTTCATCTATCAAATGATGTATGTATTATCAAGTTTTGTTGCGTACGAAAACGTTCGATAGATTGTGTCATATTTGCTGTGCCTACCCATGTAAAAAAAATAAGGCTAAAAATCAACAGACACATGATTTTAATCGATTTCTAGTGTAATTAATCGATGAAAATCTTGAAATTTTGGTTTTTTTTGGATTAAAATTAAGATTATAATCGATTTCTTCACATAATTGATTCGAAATCAATGTTTTTTCATCGATTATCATCAATGTTTTTTTATTGCAATGGAATAAAATCCATTATTACCAACGATAATCGATTTGTCATGATTTTTTATTAATCAGATAGAATCAATTTTAATCAGTACTTGGTGATTGTTTTGTAGTCTGAAATCAACTGACATTGATTATAATCTATTAAAACCAATTAGGTATTGGAATCGATTATAATCATTAATCTAAGAATCATCTAAAATCATGTGATAGTGATTTTAATTCAAAGAAATCGATTAAACTTTTTAATCGGTTATAATCATTAATCTGGAAATCAACTGAAATCCAATAGTACTGATTATAATCTACTAAAATCGATTATGTTTTGAAACCGATTATAATCATTATAGCAAGAATCCTCTAAAATCATGTTAGACTGATTATAATCTACTATAATCGATTAGAATCATTGGACTAAGAATCGTCTGAAATCAGCTAATACTGATTATAATATATCACAATCGATTAAATTCTTTATTTTTTACAGGTGCAGATTTTCTTTATCGTTCTTTACCTGAATACATGTATAAAAACATTTTATGAGAGCAGTAGAACACAAATGAAGAGAAATAAATAATAAATTATTCAGCGGAATTGAGAAGCGCGATGAGGAATAAGCCCAATGTTGATTACTACAGAAAAAATATTTTAGACTAATACTAACAGAAATCAGAGTAAAGAAGTTTAATTATTCTTCTATAGTAAAAAGTACGTGTTTTCATAATTAAAAATCGCAATCGATTTGTAACATAAGTTATTAGTCAACATGTGTTTCATTGCTTTTCACAGTTAAACTGAAAACTGTAATTTAATGTAGAAGAAAGTTTTATCTAAATTTAAATACTGAAATTAGAACAAGTTCTTATCTATACGTTTAAACAAATATGAAATCTTACAGCACAGGAAAAAAAAATAACTGAAAATGAAAACTCGTTTTTCTTTTCTAAAGTCACCATTAATTAAACTAGTATGAATAACTCATCAGGAAAGAACAGAAGAAAAATCGATAAGTTGTAAAAGCACGTTTTCTTTATGTTCGATTGAAATACATCATTATTTTTTATTTTATTTTATAACTCTAATTTATCTTTTTGTACATGATAATTCATAAATGGTTTGCTAAATATTCTGCTAAGAAACAAGCATCAGTACTACATTGAGTACTCATACTTTCGTTATGGAGTAAATTAGCAAAGAAAATTACGCATAAGTGCTCGTCGGAATAATCGGAAAGTACAGATACACAAAATTTTTCTAGTATTTGTCCCAGTAATTTGAATATTCATGCCCACAAGCCGTACTCGCCGAATGAGTACAATTATTCCGCTGAAAAAAGATGTTGCATGAATCCTTTGAGGTTTTGTGGAACTTTACCATACATTAATAAGTATCGTACGAGTCAGAGATGGGCAGCTCCGACCCTTTCTCGCTCCAGCTCCAGTCGGTTATAAGTCGCTCCGCTCCGACTCCCCTCCAGACCGGGAAATTTCGCTCCATCTCCGCTCTAGCCCCGGTCTCAATAAAAAAAACTCGCTCCGACTCCGCTCCAGCTCCGCCGCTCTTATAAACCGCTCCGCTCCGACTCCGCAGAAGTCAAAGTTTTTTTTTCCTATTTTTCTTGCAGGCTTAGCATGTTCACTGAATTTTTAGTCTTATTTCAAGATATATATGTATAGAACATAGAAAACAAACTAATGCACAATATATTAAAGTTATCTTGATTATAAGATGAAGATTATTTATAAAGACAAATGGACTAGTGTTCCAGAGCAGTTATCAATTGCATTGTAGTAAATTTAATCCTTTGAGGGCGAAATTTTTTCTTTGATAAGAAAATGAAATTTCATTGTCAACATTCCTTAATACTTTGAATATTAATTAAGATCATAATTATTCTACTGAGTCTCGGTTTCAAGATATACCCGGTTTTATTTTTGAATAACAAAACCAAAGCAAAATTTCATTCAAATTATCATCCTGCTCAGTTAACGAAGACGATTAACTATATGATTGTTTTGACGTAACAGAGTTTGTTCTTCAACTTTCACTTGAATAAGAATTTTTTTTGTTCCATCATCTCTTACTTCTCACATATTCTATACTGCTGAATTTTCTCTTTTCATCGACGTCATGTTCTTACATTTTCAAACAAGCAACAGTACAATCCAATTATACTTAGAATAACCGACTGAATGGACGGTCAGTCATTGTTTCAAAGATTGTCATTGACTAACGTTTAACAAAGGGATATTTATTCTATAAATAGTCAATGACGAGCTTTCTCTCACTAATTTTTCCGTCATTTTTTATAGAACAATAAATCGAAAAATGAGCTTATTGCTGGAGCTATAAAGAAAATGTCGCTCCGACACCACTCCAGCTCCATTTTATTTACGAAACGCTCCGCCCCGACTCCGGTATTAGTTTAAAAAATTCGCTCCGACTCTGCTCCAGCTCCATCGTTCTTACGAAACGCTCCGCTCAGCTCCGCTCCTGGAGCGGAGCTAGCTCCATGGAGCGGGCGCTCCGGAGTCGGAGCTGCCCATCTCTGGTTCGAGTGTACAGAATCTGACAAAAATCTCGTAAAGTAATAGATTTTGTATAAAAACACTTTAGGTTTTCGCAGTTGCAGAAACTTCGTTATAAATCTCTCAAAAGTATCGTACTAAAGTTTTTTTCTTTAGTATCTCATCTATAATAGACATGTCCAATAATCAGAGAGTTGACAGGTCTAAATTCAGTTCTTGACTGACCTGTTTATGATTCAATCTGTAATTAAGTTTGGATATCATATCGTTGTTTCTAAGCTATATACTTTTCTTTACGAAACAGTGTTTGCAGATATATATATATGTATAGAGCGCTTCACTTATGCGCGAATCAAAATTTCATCGCTGAACCGTTGAAATCTTTAACATTTTTTCGAGAGAAACATGAGACCTGCTCGAGGGTGTGGGGTGTGAGTAGAGAGAAAACATCCACTCGACACCCACACACCCACCCACACCCATCCATTTATAATAATCTCTATCAAAAAATTTTTATTTTACAATGATCAAATTAAACGAAAATTAGATTTACATTTTCTCGTTATTCTATTTTGATAATTATACGAATATCACGTAAAAGAGCATCGCTTCGCACAAGTAATTGATTTCTCATCAAAAGATAAGAAAAACATAATATTTTAAATGTGAAAGTCAATGATAAGAACAAAGAAAAAGAAATGCTAGACCGATACAAACAATGATTGAGTCAAACTATTCGTTACTGATCCTTTTATTCTGAGAAACACTGCTGCCTTTCTTTTTCACAAGAGATATACAGAGAATCATTCGCTTCACTATGAGAAAAAGAAATGATGATGTGAATATGTGTATTAAATGTATAATTCATTTAAATATGAATTTACTTATTTTGTATAATCAAAAAAAGGATTTACTCGACCATGTTGAATCCGAAAATCAGGATCCCTGATTTTCTGATACTCTCACCAGAGATGGGCAAGTCAAGTCAAAAAACATATATAAAGAGGCTTTTGTATCTCTCTACTCTCTTTCTATTCTTGTGAAAATTTCGTTCTAAACTTGTTTTTCTTTTGTAAAGAAGGAGAGTCATTATCTGAACAGACATAAATTGATTAGAAAATTATTTCTATTGGCTTGCCTATCTCTGGTCTGAAGCAATAAAAGACAATCACAAAGAGAATATTAACCTTCCATCTATATGTTGACCGACAAGAGCAATAACGAATGATATATTCTATAAGGTTGTCGATCATTATATAAGAAGAACAATGAATCTTTTATGAAAGAATTGATTTTTATTCTATGAATATTTAATCAAAGATGAGTTTGGAATTATTAGCCAACGAATTATTATTAAATTTATTCGAATATTTCAATGGTTATTATCTTTTTCGTGCTTTTTATAATCTTAATTCTCGTTTCAATAAACTTCTCATTGAATATTTTCGAAATCATATATTCGATTTTCATTATTTATCAAAACAAGATTTTGATTTGACTTGTCAAGAATATCTTCCATTAATTTCACATCGAATAGTTGGTCTTCATCTTTCAAATACAGATGAAACACCAAATCAAATTGATTTATTTCTTGAAAATGATTTAATTCTTGATCAATTTATTTCTTTACGATCATTATCATTTCATAATGTTTCTTCGAATGAATTATTAATTAAAATTATTTTACAATTTTGTTTTCTTCATCATTTAATTTGTTTTCGTTTTCTTGAATGTTATTTTGAACATTATGATATATCTCATTATGATACTTTCAAATCTCTTTGGTCTTTACCAAAACTGACTCATTGTGTATTAGACTTCCGATTTCAACGTAATGATCGAATATTTTTACCAACAGTTGTATCTCAATCTATAAAATATGTCTCAATTCCGTATATTAATTGGCAATGGAATGATTTTATCGAATTATTAGAAAATACACCAAATATTCTTCAATTAAATATTCATTTACCTGATTTTATCAATCCTAAACAATTGAAATCTCCTGTTCAGTTTATCTCGGCCTTGGAGATTCTCGTTTCTTATTCATCTAGTTTATTGTTTAATTTATTAAAAAATATGCCAAATTTATTATGTTTAATTGTCAAAACTACGAATATTATTATCGATGGTCATCAATGGAAAGAAATATTTGTCAATTATTTACGAAAATTGAAAATATTTAGATGTTTCATGTGTTGTGGATTGACTTATAATACTGATAAAGAGAAAACAGTTGATTCTTTACTTGATTCATATCGTAATTCATATTGGATTGAAGATCATCAATGGTTCATTCGATGTCAATGGTCACCAAACGATACTGAAAATCAAATATCTCTTTATACACTTCCTGATCGTTCAGATTATTCAACCATCAAGTTGTACTATTCGTACCAAATCAACATGTTCATTCGAATATGATTATGACAATGATAATGTTCCATCAATGATTCACTTCGCATTTAAACATACATACATGTATTTACAGTATATTCGTCATCTTCATTTAATATTACCTTTTACTGAGATTTTATTATCTAATTTACCACAATTTGATCGATTAATTCATCTTCAAGTTGGATGTTTTCCATTTATTGATGGAAATATGGCTGTTTATCAATTACAAAAACTGCTCGATCAATCACCTTATTTGTATTCATTAGAGATATTAACTTGGTTTCCATTATGTGTTCAAGAAATACCATTGAATCTTATGAGTCATTCAATTCGATCACTTAAATTTGAAAATACATCTTGTTCAATCGATAAAACTGGAATTTCTTTTTTCAATGATTACAAATGTTTTGTTTTAATTAATTCACCAATAGGTATTCAATGTGAATTTCTTTCTTTAATTGTCGAAAAACGAACAAATATTATTGATCTTGTCAATGGATTACCGAATCTTCGTACATTAAAAGTTCGTTCTAAAGATGATCAATGGAAAAATCAACCGATCAATGATGAATTAATTCTATGGTTACGAACTCGTTTATCATGTCTTATCAATAGAGATACAAGATTTACAAAATTTATTCGTCTTTGGATTCGTTAATAATCAATAACACAAGTTTTTTGATTTCATTCAGAACCTTACTCTCAGTTTATTTCAACTTTAGAAATATAAATTGTTGTTCAAATAAAAGAAAAAGTCAATTATAAAAAGAAAATGAAAAAGTTTTTCGAGAAGATCTTCATTATTTTATACATTGTTGACTTTCTATTTGTAAAAATGTTCGACACTCATCACAAATTCCTTCATTATATTTTAAATCGATCAATTTTATATTTGTATTCTGTTTTAAAACATCGAGTAAGATTCGTTTTCATTCATGATTTATTTCACACATGAATAATATAGGAGTTTCCAAAGTATTTTTATCATTGATCACCATATCTACGTTGATATTAATTCTATTTTCTAACAGAGGAATATCTGACATTTTAAACTCTCTTATTTTTGAATTATATTCTTACCATCGAGTTTCAAAATTATCAAATTCTCATTGTTTATTAAATCTGCAACTAATTTACTATAGTCTGAAATTTCTTCATGTTCACTCAGCATATATTTTGAAAGAGAAATTTTATCTTTCAATGATCTTAAAATACATTTCATACTTTCAGAAAACCATTCCTTTGAAATATTTCAGTATATCTGTGTACAATTCTCATTCATTTTCAAAGCTTCAGCATTCTCAACAGAAAGTAATGTATACAAATCATGTATTGCTATCACGTCAAAACTACTAATTGCATTTGTTTCCAATACATTGATAAATAAATGTGTAAAAAAACCAAAAAGTATCACTCGTACTTAATTCAGTTACATCACATTTTTTTCGGTATCATTATTATTTCACTACTCAAACCGGTGGACTAAATCCTACAACTGTCATAGCTTGTAATTTAAATACATAATTCTTTTCAGCTTTCAAATCCTTTACAATAAGGTGTTTAGACGCGATATCACCTGTAGACGTAACTGTCCAAGGATTTTCTTTTTCGTCATCGACCGTTTCATCATCTCCTGGAAACATTGACATACATCTTGGAGCATTCATTTTCGTTGTTATTCGAAAATTCTCCTTTTTTCTTCCATTTTGATATAGAATTATTTTAGCTCGTTGTTCATTCTCATTAAAATAACTTTCATTTGCAATAAAACACATTTTCTTCGTTTTAATATTTGTCGCAGTAAAATCAATAAACTGTCGAACTACTTCAAGAATATGACTACATACATTTTCATTTTGAGACCAAGCCGTCGTAGTATCACTGGTAGTTGGACAAAGATTTTCTTTCAAAGTAAGATCAGTCTCTTCATTCAAACGAAATTTAAGACAACATATGACATCTGAATTCAGATTTCCCAGGGCACTACTCAATGTTGATGATTTAACTATGACATGTAGTATATGTTTTTGATCTCTTGCTAAAACATTGAGAATTGAATTTAAAAATAAAAATTATTTTTCTTTATCATTTAACCAACAGACAAGTGTACGATGATTGAATGAAGATTGATCGATTTTTTTTAAATAATTCAGATAGACACACTTCTTCTCGTCCTCTTCCTCGCACATCAGGTAGTAATAGACTCATTTGTTTTCTTAATTTACGTTCTGATTCTTTCAATTTTGCATGGTTGAAATAATGAAATCTCTCGCTCTTACACGCAACGAATGAAGATCTTCTAAAACAGCTATAGAATAATCAATGATCGATGTTGAAATATCGCGAACTATCCGCAAAACTTTCGTGTCTAATAAATGAAGTGGATAGAGTCAAACTTTTTTCAGTACTATATTCTCAAGATTCTCACCCAGAAGACTTGGGGGAGTACAATACAATTCCACAGCCTCGAAAAAAGTACTCGGATTTAAATTAAAACGAAAATCACTGTAGAATTTATAATTTAAACTATTAGCAATATCTTTTTGTCGTTCATCCAAGTCAAGATTTCCTTTACCTTGAACGGATACTGTAGGTATTTTCTTTATAAGAACTTTTAAGGGTGGATGTCGGTGTGGGAGTGGGTGTGGGGTGTGTGTGGGGTGTGATTGTGGGTGTGGGTGTGAGTGTGGGGTGTGGGTGTGGGTGGGTGTGGATGTCGCTGTTGGTCTGGCTATAGATGGAAACAAGGCCCACACCCACACCCCACTCTCACACCCACACACCCACACCCACACCCCACCCCATATTACATAATATTGTTTTGAAACGTAAAAACTGGCACTTTATGATGTGTGAGAATATTGTTTGTCCCATATTGTCGGATTAAACAGCTATTAGTTTGGCTTACTATGCGGTGCATATCATCTCACGTTCGAAGGATGGAATCTATTCTGTTTGAACATCAATGTCAAACATCCGAGATTTATGCTAGAATATATGTTAAAATTTAAATAAATGGTTTTGCGTTGAGATTATTCTGACGAGGAAGGGTCTCCAACTGACGAGGTATGTTCAGATTTTCGAAAAAAGAAATCTCCGAAAAAATCAAAATTTCTCCGATACCATATAAAGACTTACTTCTGTGTAATTATAGAAATTTCCCGGAAATTTCGGAAATTACCTTCACATAAGAAAGGAAATTTTATGAAATTTCGGTAATTACTCAAACTATAGAAAGAAAATTAACAGCTAATTTCTGCAAATTCCAACTTTCCATAAGGATCTCTATCAGAAACTATGGAAAATACGAACAGATACAAAACGAAATTACCACCCAATTTCCGAAAATAACTAGTTGTAACGAAGAAATTTCTGCAGAAAATACTAAGAAAGTTCAGTATTTACTAGGAAATTTCTGTAACTTCTAAAATAATACTATAGACATATAATGCAATAGATATATATTTAAAGAATCCTACCCCCAAAAACTAGAAGAATTTATGGTAATTTTCGAAATTACCTAGAAATTTTAGTAATTACAGAAATCTCTATAATTTCTATACTATACTAATATGGATATGATAATATAAGTAGAAATTTAAAGAACCCTATCCCCAAAAACTAGAAGAATTTATGGTAATTTCGGAAAGGACGGGGGCGTATAAGCTATAGAAAATGGGCCACTAGGGATTTATTGACATTTCATTGACAACTCTTTCTAGATAAGTAAGACAAGTTTTATTAAGTAGATCCAAGTAAAGCTATGCATATTGAGCCTTATTTTCAAGCGAAAATATTGTAAAATATCATATAGGTCTTTTTGGGGTCTTTGATGTTTTCTAAGTGTAGTCATAGTAATTCAATATTTGATCAAAATAGATAAGCTTTTGGAAATATTGAAAGCTTAATTTATCTTCATTAGAAAGAGCATTTAATTCTGCATCGTTTCATATGAAGACTATTATTTTTTTACGAACTATCGAGGTCAACAATAATACCACTCTTCTAGGATGGGGTGGGTGTGGGACGGGTGTGGAATGTGGTTGTGAGTGTGGGTGTAGATATAGATCGTTCCTTCACTTACACCCACACCCACACTCGTACCCACTTCACATCCACATCCACACCCACACTCACACTCACAACCACATTCCACACACGTCCCACACCCACACCCACTCACACGCTTGTCAACAAAAAAAGCGTAGCCTAAGGCCAAGTGAAATTGGGGAGCAAATGTGATTTGGACGCAGGTGTCCGGGGAGCAATTGTCATAAGAGAGCAAGTGTCCGGGAAGCGATTGCCCTTGAGGAGCAAATGCCACAAGAGCAAATGTCGCGGGAGCAACTGTCGCTGGAGAGCAATTGTCGCGGAAGCAACTGCCCGGGGAGCATCATTCGTGTTACCCTCGAGACGATAGGCAAATTGTTTTCCATTCATTGTTATGTTATACTGTTGAGATAAGAGTACAGCCGACATGAACATCGCACGTTCTTGTGGTGTTTGGTAATATGTTAACATTGGATTACGCTATTGATTCAATAACCCTAAAATATAGCTGTATGAGTTATTGGTAAATAAAGGCCACATTATTTTTAAACTATCATTTTTCTGCTTCACTTCCCGTTCGAATGCTTCATCGTCTAACTTCACAACTTTCACTATAGAAGAATTAGAAAATATCAAACTAATACAAATAACCATCGTTGTCACACGCATAGTATTTACCACTTTTGGTTTTAATTTCTGATTGCTTTTCATAAGCTTTTTTTTCTAGTACTTTTATACATTCTGAAGAGCACGACGACTCTAACCGAGAATTTTATGAGTTTATTTATGATAAAAGCGATAAAAATAAAGTCCTGTCAAAAGTGACAGTACATGGTCGAGATAAAAGAATTGGGTCATTTCCAAACCAAAGATTTTATTCAGCGAATCGTTATCAATAACATTTTCCTATGATTATTATAATGCTCTATATTGTAAAAAATATTATGTTTAAATTCAAAGACATCATAAACTCACAAGAAGATAGAAAAGAACATACTTTTTTGCTTACTTTTCGATAAAGGTTGGCAATTTTTCAAATACAGGGATTGATCGAAACATTATATTTCTATCATTTATTGTACATATGAAGAGAATATTATTCTTTTTTGAATGAGACATGTTATTAATGGTAATCTTAGCTTTTTGTAGCGTAAGTCGTCAAATTCAATACTCTATGTATTTATCAATATAGAGTGGTTATAGAGTACAATGGAAATCTTTACCATTGGATGACATGGTATAGGAACTATTCAACTGTTTCATCTACTCTCCTTGAAACTATCTATAACAAACCTAATAATTTCAACTAGTTACGTGTTCGTGAACAGGTTTTTCTACATACAGTTTGCTTCAATTTCAGATCTTAAACATTGATTGATTGAGCACAACATCATTTGTTCATTATTGAGACAGACTTCAATTCAGACGATATCAATTAATAATTAAATTCCAAAATAATTTCTCTATCGAATGACTTATGAACTAATACAAAATCCTTGTCTCTTGATTATACCGTGTGTTAATCGAATCGGTTCGTACAGAACTCAATCTTCGAACATTCTTTTTTCTAAACACCATCATCTTCAAATGGAAAAACCCTTAATCTGAACACTTCACACTAAAAATCAGGCAAAACTACTTGTGTTTAATAAGTGATGCAGTAATAGTGAAATATCTTTTTTATTTTCTATTTATTAAAAAACCAATAAGGTGTGGATGAAGTATGAGCGTATTTGATCCTTTTTTCTCTATGTACTGTACACTTACACCCACCCTTAAAACTATATAAATATATTAATTTGTATAAAAATCATCGAATAAATAAAAGAATTACAAACTTCTAAAATAAAACACATTCACCCTCAAAATAAGTAGATTAAATTGATTATTGACAAACTTTTCAATGACGTTTGAGAGGAACAAAGAGAAAAGTCAGAACAAGTAACCAATGTGACCAGTCACAAATACGAAAATAAAGTTATTATTCAATAGGAAACTTCAAATATTCATAATCAAAATAAGAAGGAATGAATATTTGATCCCTAACAATTTGTTTTTTTTTTAATAATTTTATATATTGATGATCTGAACATTTTTGTTTGTATTTCACACTTTTCGTTCTTCTTCTTATGAAAATAACAATTAAAGAATGCTTCATTTATTGAAAAGTAGCTATTAACTATAGACAACAAAAAAAAAAGAAAACTCCTAAACAACCAAATTTCTACCACCATAAATATAAGTCACGATTAATATATTTAATAGAATAATCATTGAGTAAGTTTTCTGATTTAATTAAAAAATCTAATTCTGGTAGGCATACTTTAGGTATTTGTGAAATGCACAAAAAGAATAAACGACGTATTTTATCAGTATTTTTTGAAAATAAATATCGTATAATTTGATTAATCTCTTTTTTATTGATTCTAATTTTAAGATATTCGACTTGTGAAAATAAATAAATAATTAATTGAAATATTTCTAATGTACATTTTTCTCGAATATCTATATTTGTAATTTTATTTGTATTTGATACATATCGAAAAATTTCATTCTGTTCAATTAATTTTAAATATATTTCATTTAAAGATAAAAAATCTAATTTTAATGTATGTAAATTAGGTGTAAAATGTATTAATTTAATAATTTGTTCAAAAGGAAAATTTGAACTTTTTATATTTAATTTAGTTAATTGTTTTAAAGGAAGAATACAATTAAGAGTTGTTGATATTGAATCATCACATGTTTTAAAATAATGTTCAATTGTTAATTGATTTGCATTTGGAAAATAATTTACATAATTATTTATTATCATCTGTTTACTACATATATGAACATGTTTAACTATATTTAAATTCTTTTCTTGCATATTTGAATAAACTTGTTGATCGAATTGCCAATAAAATCTATAAGTTTTTCTTCTATATGGATTTGTTGAATAAAAAATGCCACTATCAAGTGTTTCTTGCGAATCATGTTGATGTGTAAAAAACCACTGTTTTTTAATCCAAAATGATGAATTAAATTGATTTATTAAATCATGATATGTACCACCATCATGACTTATATCAAATGTACGTAAATTAGGCATTGATGATAAAATTAATTCTTCCCATTGTCTTGCATCTAAATATGTTTGATCAGATTTTGTTGAAATATGTAAAATTTCAATATTATAAAAAAAACGTTTAATTAATTTTTGCAATAGATTGAAATTGATTGAATCAAGTTTAATAGAAATATTATTTAAATATCTTGATACAAAAGGATCTTCATCAATTTCTGGATCATCACATCCAACAAGACAATCAATTGATAAATAACGAATTTTTGGAAGACAAAAAAATATATCATTAAGTGATTCAATTGAAAATCGATTATTGATCACAAAATATTCAATAGGACTATCTTTATGATCAGTCATATAAATAGGCATTGCTTGTTCATCATATTTCGTTCGATAGGTTAATGTACAAGATTTTAATTTAGGCAAAGAAAATATAGAAATAAAAAAGATACTTGTATCTTGAACATAATCAATAGGAGTAAGAACTAATGAATGTAATTTTGGTAAAAAAGTTAAATGTTTGAGAATGTTATTAAGATATTTTACATCGATATTATCGAGAATTAATCTTTCAAGTTGAATATAATCACAAATAATACGTACTGAAAAGAACATAATATCAATAGTAAATGGATTTGATAAACGAAGATAATTAATTCGATGTTTATTTGGTTCAATCATATTTTTATGATAAAGTTTAAAATTTGATTTTGACATTATTGAAACATTTATTTGAATTAGGAGATTTGTATTGACAACTATATTTTGAAATCGTTGTTTAAGATAAAAAAATCCTTCGTAAACATGATAAACATCAAGATATTGAAATATTTCATACATTATTTCATTTGCTAAATTTTCAAAACAAGATCTAAATTAAACAAAACTAGATAATAAAACGAATTTTAAAAAACTGACTTGTTTCTTATTACTAAAAATAAACAAAGAATTAAAACTTAATATAGACAAAAAAAAAATCTTACATTCATTTTGTAATTTTTGTCTCTTATTGGTGTTAGAAACATAAACACAGTCGTTTTCTGTTCGTTCCATCTCTGAAATAGTAAATGACGATGACACTAATTTCGAATAACGAAAAAGAACATATATATATAACACACATGTGAAATAACATTCTATCTCTCTCTCTTTTATCTATAGATGACCGTGTCGTCGTATTATGATCTTTTATATATGAAAAGTTCATCGATACGAAATAGTTTTTGAAAGAAGTATTACTTATTGTTTGGAATAATGTTATTTTCATACAAAGAATTGTCATTGAATAAATACTTGTTAAAATACATAATAATAAGCTTCAAGCCATTGAAAATCATAAATGATTTTTTTCCCCATCTCTAAAGATTAAATCAAGATCGAATGATATTTGTAAGGAAAGTGTCAAATAAACTGAAATATTTGACCCAATACAGAAATAATGTTCTTTGAAAATTTCTTTTTCAACAACTAATTGTTTAAATGCTTGAATATTATTGATCGATTGAACAATAATCTATTATGACAGAATTTTTTCATGAAAATAAAGTGTTGAATGAAGCAAATGTCTTGCTGATACCGCTCGTTCAAGAAAAGATCGAGTTTTTTTCTTAAGATTTGTTTTCGATTCTATATGAAGATATGTTATGAATAACATAAGAGAAGAAATAAGATGTGTACGTTATCTGCTTGGTATGCTGTTCTTATTTCTATTATTATGATGACATTTGTTTCAGTCAGTTATATATTATAGTTAATCAATGATGTATTTTCCATGAATACAATTTCTACATTGTGTTGCCATTTACACCTAATAAGGTCTTGTTCAACACACACAATCGGTACAATAATTTCGTTGAAATATAGTATTCGATGTCAAATGAATTTACACAAAGATTGAACGACTTATGTTCGAGAATTCTTATCACATAAAGATTATTTTATATCATTAATCATAATTTTGATTTGTACTATTGCACATGTGATCGTTCTAATGTTAATGTCATATGTCCCTACCAGAGCTGCCAACAGGCTACTTTTTTCAGCCTGGCCTGCAGACCAAACTAGGCGAACTAATGTTTCAGATTGTTTATTATTATGAAATTTACAAATTAGCATCAATCCATTGTATACGTTTCAATTTATGATCCGACTTGTTTTCATGAGAACAATAGAATGTAGTATTCCAATTCTGAACTAACAACATTCATGAATCAATTTTAAGATCAGTTTTATGAAAATCTTTGACACATGAGTATAGACTTGAGTTCTGAAATGAAACACTTTCAAACATGTCGTCAATCAAGTAGATGCTGAAATTTAGAAATTTATGTGGAAATATTTGAATTTTTTTGGAATAAAGTTATAACTACGTATATATGGAAAGTAGCGATTATCTTGAGTACTTGCTGATATGTAAGGTATCTTCATTCTCAAATATGTACGAATGAGAACTTCTCAAAATTAGCTTAAAATCTTCTACTAATCTTACGGTTTGATAACTTTTATTTACACAATAATTTTACAAGTGGACAGAATTTAATTCTTCATCATTTTCATTAAACGAAACTCTGAATTCGATTCTAGTTTAGACCAGCTCTTTGAACCATGAAACTCTTTAATTGAGTTTCGCGATCTTCCTTGGTATAATATTGAATAAGTAAGAAGAGTTTTAAATAGTTTTTAGCACAAAAAGTGCTAGAAATAATTGTAGCTGTGTATCATCAAAGGCGAAAATTCTACATGTCCGAGAACTGAAAGTTAATAGTAACAAACACGTTCAAAAAACCCTTATAAAACATATAAAAACATCAATTTGACTGGATGATCAACAGAAAATATCAGAGGCAATCATCATCGACTCATGAAGTCGTCTTATTCTTAGAATGAGATACTGTAAATGTTAGTATTAAATCATATCCAGGCTAAGAACTTTAAGGGTGTGGGTGTGGGTGTGGGTGTGGGTGTGGGTGGAT